GCTCAGGACCCATATGCTTAATTCAGTCATTGGATTCTATATAGCTATAATTATCAGCTTTAATCAATACTCTTCTTTTGAGAAAAGCTGCTGATATATATATCTATATTGATTCCTCTAGTCATATGCCTCTAATGAATAGTGAAAAAAGTCAACATTACTATTCATCATTCATCATAATGCATCCAACCGACAAATTCAGAACAGTAAAAGACAGCCATCACTTTTTGTCACTTACCGAAAGTTGCAGCTGGCTCCCATGTTCCTCTTTTAGTCAAATTTTCTAGGACTGTTCAAAAATCCGTTCAAACCGGTAATCCGGACCGAACCAGACCGAATTGTACGGTTTGATTCAGTTCTATTAAGAATTAGTTCAGTTTCGGATTAAGAAATATGAGAACCGTACAAACGGTTCGGTTAATGGATTTTATGAAAAAATCGCGGTTTGAACCGAACCGGACCGAATTGAATTTTAAAAGATATATATATATATATATAATATCAAATTTTATTTTTATTAATTAATTTTTTATAATTTTAATGATGTACGGTTTGATTCAGTTCTATTAAGAATTGGTTCAGTTTCGGATTAAGAAATATGATAACCGTACAAACGGTTCGGTTAATGGATTTTATGAAAAAACCGCGGTTTGAACCGAACCGGACCGAATTGAATTTTAAAAGATATATATATATATATATAATATCAAATTTTATTTTTATTAATTAATTTTTTATAATTTTAATGATATTAGGATGGTATAGATATGTAATGTTGAGTAATACCTTAATATTATTAGTTTTTATCATGAGTTAAATGTAATTAGTTTGAGTAATTATTTTGTTATATTAACAATTTATTCTTGTAAATAGAAATTTTTGGAACCGTGAACCAAACCGAAACGGAACCATTTTTGGTTCTAGTTCGGTTTTATAAGTGCAATGGTCTGGTCTGGTCTGGTTCTCAAAATCAGAACCGTTAAGATCAGTTCGATTTTTGATTTTTCTCAAAATCGAACCAATCCGAACCGTGTACGCCCCTAAGATGTCCTTACAAGGCTTATAGTAAACCTCATAAGGCTCACAGTAAACCCCTTATGTCTACAAAAGATCCTCTTCAGTCAAGAATAAGGCAGAGTTAGAAAAATTTGAGTGCTTATTCTCAAGAAAAATAGCTATCTCTGTAACTTGATATTTTCAAATTCATTTTCAAATTATGTATTTTGAAGAACTATTTGCTTCATTCCAGTAAACAATTGTAAGTTTTAATTTATGTATGTGTTTATTTTATGTTTTAAGTTTTATCTTAAGTTTTAATTTAAAATGTTTAGTGTTGTTTCCTCAGTCTGCTTCCGTCTTTTTTTGGTATCAGAGCCAAGTTATTAGTAAGTGCTTATTGTTGAATTATTAACCTTTCCATTTGATTTTCTTCAATTAAATTTCAGTTTCCTTATTCTTGCTTAACTTATCTCTTGTTTTCTACTTTGTCGGTAGCTACTCACCTTTCGTCCCAATCCAGAGTAAGTCCTTTGGATTAGGCAATGAGTGAACACACCGTATGAGGAAACATAATAAGTTATAATTGAATTTTGGAATTGGATTTAATTTTATAAAATCATAATGAGTCAATTATTCAGAAGTAATTCTTCAGTTAGCTTCAGATCTACAACTCTTGCTCCTATACCTAGTTCAGAGTTGGTATTAAATGAAGAAGTACATGAATATCAAAATGTTAAAATTGATTTAGGTTGGAATATCCCTAAAGTAAAAACTAAAAAAATTTAAAAAAACTAGTTTTTTACAATCTACTTTTAACGTTGATTTACAAGTCAAAACTGTTGAACAAGTTTATACTTTAAGTAAACCACGAGAAACCTGTCAATTATTAACTAAAGATGCTATCCGAAAACATCTCAAAGCTGGTTATAATTTTATTCATTTAGGATTAATCCAAGTAGGAATAAATCCATTAACTCAACAAGGTAAAAATACTTACCAGGTATATATTCAATATCAAAATAAAAAATACTTAAAATAGATTGCCAACGGGCAAAAATTTGCTTACTAACAAGATTTTGAACATATTTTTCTAAGACATATTTAGCAGATTTGCAATCAACACGAAGTAAAAATTTTTGATTTAAGATATCATCTTGAAATTTACTAATACATAAAACAGTAGATAAAATTTCTTGTTTAATAGTACTCAATTAATTGATTCTCTTCTAATCTCTAAAATTGATCATTTTAAAACTCAATTAGAAAATACTGTTTGTTCTACTTTACCCAGTGCTTTTTAGCATAGGAAAAAACATGCAGTTACACTCCCATATATTAAAAATTTTAATGAAAAACAGATACCTACTAAATCTATACCTATTCAAATGAAACATGAGTTAGTCGAAATGTGCAAACAAGAAATTAATGAACTATTAAACAATAAAATTATCAGTCATAGTAAGTCATCTTGGTCTTGCCCTACTTTTTATGTCAACAAAAATGCTAAACTAGAAAGAGGAGTCCCTCGTCTTGTCATTAATTATAAACCATTAAATAAAATTTTAGAATGAATTCGTTATCTCATCCCTAATAAAAAAGATTTAATTAAACGACTAAGTCAAGCCGTCATTTTTAGTAAATTTGATTTAAAAAGTAGATTTTGACAAATCCAAATTCATCCTAAAGATCGTTATAAAGCTGCTTTTACTACTCCTTTTGCCATTACGAATAGAATGCTATGCCATTTGGATTAAAAAATGCTCCTAGTGAATTTCAAAATATTATGAATGAAATTTTCAATCATTTTAGTCATTTTTCTATTGTCTACATACATGATATCCTTATTTTCTCAAAGTCTATATCTGAACATTGGAAACATCTTAATGCTTTTTTCCACCTCATTAAATACAATGGCCTTATTATCTATGCCCCTAAGATTAAACTTTTCCAAACTAAAGCCCGCTTCTTAGGGTATGATATTTACCATGTACAATTCTTCCCATTAGTCGGTCTATTGAATTTGCCTCTAAATTTCCTGATGAAATCTTAGATAAAAATCAGTTACATCGCTTTTTAGGTTCCTTAAACTATATTGCTGAATTCTATAAAGACCTTCGCAAAACTTGTCAACCTCTCTTTGATCGGTTAAAAGATAATCCTCCTCCTTGGTCTTCTCTCCATATTTTTATAGTTCAACAAGTTAAAAAATATGTCAAAACTTTGCCTTGTCTTGGTATTCTTGTTGAACAATCCTTCAAAATTATTCAAACTGATATTTCTGATATTGGTTATGGTGGTACCCTGCTTCAAAAATTCACCCCTCAGTCATCTCAACAAATTGCTTGTTTCCATTCTGATGTCTTTAAAATTTTGTAAGAAAATATATTTTCTTTCTCTTTTTATCAAATTTTCTTTCTAATCAAATAGAGCAGTAGTCAATTACACTAATTATTTCTAAAGTTTAGGAAAATTACAATAATGGGTTGTTTGGAATTTTAATTTTTAAATTAAACAAGTGAAAAAAAATAAAAAAATAAATCAATATATACTATTCATGTTTTTTAATGCAAGTAGAAAATTTATTTTCAAACACATTAAATTTTTTCACCTTATACAAAGGACAAAAAAAATAAAAAATTACTAAAAGAGTCAAATACCAAACATTTTTTAAATCTTACTAAATTAATAAAATTATACCAACCTTTTTTTCAATATAAACTAAAGAGATGATAATATTATTTTTCTATATATACAATTAACGACTTGTTGATAAAAATAGACTTAAATTTGATGTGAATTAAAAAATTTAAAAATAGAATATAATTATCTCAAATTTATAAAATTCAATATATTTTTTTGAGATATAAATTGTTTTTAGCCTTAATATATCTATAAAACTAAAGATATGTTTGTCATGGGGTGACATTTTCGAAATCTAGAGTTTGTTTTGCTGGGTTGATCTTGTTTACAACCTTTGCAGGCTTGCAAATCACAAGACCGACACGGATCTAAGATTTTAACATAAAGAATTAATAGATATAAAGTGATAATTAACATCAATATCTACCGACATAACAAAAAAAATAAATAAATAAATAAAAATATATATAAACAAATAATTTTTTTTTTTTATATATTGAAGAGAAAAACAATACACTACGGAAAATTGGATTTGGGATATCCGAATCTATAAATCATATGGATAAATTATATGCATCCATGATAAAGCCAAATTATTTCCTGCGGTGCCATGGGGTAGAATTAGTAGAGAAGTAACAAAGTACACAAATATGATTGTTCTATATCAAAAAGTTAGAGAGAATGTTGGAGAGATTTCCGTTAAAAAAAAGGTTGGAGAGATTTTCTTGTCTCCCAAAATACATAATATTATAGATATTTTGTCAGATATATAACCATTCACTGCAACTCTATTTCCCTATATTATGTTATTCACATTTAAGAATGGTTTTAGAATATTTTAAATAAATGTATTTTTTAATTTTTTATAATAAAAAATATGTAAAAAAAATAGAAAAAGTAGGTACAAAAATAGAGAAAAGCTATTGATAGATGTTGATTGATGTGACTTAATAGTTTGAGATTCAAACTAATAGGATCTCTAATACTGTATTTGATTGGAGGAATTGAGAAAATATTTAAAAAGGAAAAGTGAAAAGATAATTGAAATATGAATAAAATATATTTATATTTCACCTAATTTCATACAATTTTTTTTTTCTTTTTCCAAATCATTTTCTAAATTTATCAACCAAACCCACCATAAATGGGTAATAGATCATAATCACAATCAACGTCCAAACTCAAATATGAAACTCAACTCGCTTATAACAAATGTGTTTTTGAAACTAAACCATTAATTTTTTCTTTAAGGTAAACTTGATAAAATAAAAATAATTACAATTATTATATCTACTTAATTTTTTATTTTTTATTTTTTATTTTTAGATTATCAAAAACAAAACAGTGGATAAGACCAGGGGGAACAGCACCTCCCCAATCCAGGGAGGGAAACCCTTGAAAAATTATAAATAAATGAAAAAACATCTCTAATATAACCACTTTCTTGAGGCGTGGCGTGACTTCTGGCGGCCAAGTAGGGAAGAAATAGAATAGCCGCTGATTGATTCCCCATTTGGTAAGCAAATCCTCCTCTTTCTTCCATTTGAGTTTGCCCTAATTTCAACTACTATCATTTCCAATCACAACCCATTCTTGTTGGTATCAATCACCATCATCATAATTTCTAGAGAGAAATATACTGTATGAACTTTGTTTGAGATGGGTCTTGAAAATTTCTGTATAAAACCCTATGTTTCAGGTGAAATCTTGAAGACCCAGAAGGATATGCTGTATAAAACTCTGTTTTAGATAAAATTCTGTGTAAAACCCTATATTTTAGGTGAGATCTTGAAGACTCAGAGAGGATATCCTGTATTGTATACAACTGTGTTTGAGAGAGAGAGCCCAAATTTTGGATGAAATCTTCAAGACCCAGAAGGAGATACTGTGTTTTGTACAAGTATGAAGTTGTTCTCAACTGCAATTTCAGCATACAGATACTTTAGCACCAAAACTACTACAAAAGGCCGAAAATGGACTCCCAACAAGAACAAGAACAAAATGAAGGAACCCAAAAACCCTAATAAAAGGACCAGAATTAAGTGGACTGACCAACAGTCTCAAATCTTGGAAGCCATTTCCAATGGCAAGTCTGTTTTCATTACTGGGTCAGCGGGTACTGGTAAAACAGTCTTACTCCAACATATCATCAAAAGACTCCATAAACTTCACGGCCGGGGTAATGTTTTTGTAACGGCTTCAACTGGAGTAGCGGCTTGTGCTCTTCAGGGCCAGACCCTCAACTCCTTCGCTGGCACCGGACCCGCATTCACAGATCGCCAAACTTTGCATGATAGGGTTTTTTCGGATAGTAAGGCTTACCGGAGGTGGAAGAAAGCTGGGGCTTTGGTTATAGATGAAATTAGCATGGTTAATGCGCCGTTTTTTGCTGCTCTGAAATACATTGCGGAAGAGGTGCGAGGTGAAAAACAAGAAAATGTAGGAGTAATAAACAATGGGTGGGGTGGAATACAGCTAGTTGTGAGTGGGGATTTCTCTCAGCTACCCCCAATCACCAATCGAGAGAATTTGAGTGGAAAGGAATTTGCATTCGAAGCTGACTGTTGGAATTCAAGCTTTGACATGCAAGTAGAGCTTACAAAAGTTTTCAGGCAATCAGAGGCTCGGCTCATCAAGTTACTACAGAATATAAGAAGAGGGCATACTGATCCCGAAGACTTGCAGCTCCTAGAGAAGTGTTGCTCGGAAACAGATTCAAATTCGTCACCACTGGTACAGCTCTACCCGAGGAATGAAGATGTGAACAAGGTGAACCTGAAGAAAATGGAGGAATTAGAGGGGTACATGTATGTTTATCGTGCTCTTGATTGTGGCGATGATGATGCTTCGAAGAGGCAGCTTAAACAGGGGATCGCAGCCGATGAACTTATACTAAAGGAAGGTGCGAGGGTGATGCTGACTAAGAATTTGAATACTTGGCGTAAATTGGTGAATGGTGCCACTGGTACAGTTATGCAGTTCTGTGGGCCATATGGCGCTGATGTTTCAGATATATGTAAGGACAAAGTGTTGCCATTAGTTAAATTTGATTCGGGGCTGGAGATGATTATTCATCCAGAAACATGGGTTGTGATGGAGGGAGACAAGATTGTTGCGAAGCGAAAGCAAATGCCTCTCATACTGGCATGGGCTCTGAGCATTCACAAATGCCAAGGCATGACCCTTGACAGCCTTCACACCGATCTCTCCAAGGCTTTCGGCTTTGGAATGGTCTATGTTGCACTTTCACGTGTCCGAAGCTTAGATGGCCTTCATTTATCTGGTTTTGAACCATCAAAGATTAGAGCACACCCAAAGGTTATTCAGTTCTATCAAGATAAACAAGTGGAGGATGATGGTGTCAACGAGGATATAAGTAGCAGCAGTAATGATGCAATCCATGTTTCGAGCAAGACAATCTCCAAAGAAATGAATAAGAATCTGAACTGTAAACCAAACTCATCTCTTATTAGTTGGTATAACCGTGTTACCAAGAGAGCATTGGGGTGACTTCTTGTTAAGTTGTTTGCTCTGCAAATCGTTGAATTGAAGGATTGTTGGTGAAGAATGCAAGCTGTTTTTGCTAGATTTTCTTCGGTGGGTGATGATGGTACTGTTCTTATCATGCCTAAATTCTTTATTTATTGATTTATTTATTTGCACATGGTATTTGATCGAAGTGTGTTCCACACATTTGAAATGACAAGTATCATATCATACTTGCAAAATGTTCCTCATTTGAAACAACAATTGTCATATCATTTACTTGCAAGAAATTTCTGAATTTGTAGGTATTTCTGAAAATTCAGGTACTTTCTTTAGAGTTCAGATTAAGATTTTAATTGGAAGAATGACACTCGTACAAAATTAGTAGAGCATGGAGATGATAATTGCTAGTTGTGTTCCAAAATTTACGACTGCATAGAATTTAATGTTGAACATATAAGGCAGAGAGATATAAATGAACATGAATGGGTTGAAAAACTGTCAATACTTATCTCAGTACAGCTTGATTCTCTTTCTACTTTCCTTTTCGTTTCTTTTTTTCCCCATAGATTCAAGTATTGGGTTGATTTTTGGCTTATTGGTCCAGTCATTTCTTAATATTTTTATGAACTTCTAAAAGCTTGAAAACGTGTTTATGAAACGCACTTTAACATAGAATGAGGAATAAGATTGTCCGTACACTAGTTTAATTTTTGAATAAACTAAATGTAATCAGGTCGAAGAGCCTGAAAAGTCTGCTAGTTCACAAAGAAGAGCCAAAAGTAGCTTTCATTGGTAATTGCACCTTTGTAGCTATGCATAACTCAATATGTGCATACAAAGTGTACTTCTCAAACTGTAGAAAGGAAGACAACCAACTGAACTACCTACCCGGATCCCCCTCTCAGTTGATGGTGGAAAAAAACAGCCCCAAACTTGTTCTGCATGTATATACATATATACATATGCTTTGCAGAAATAAATAATTTGTCATTGAATGGTGGAGTGATACGAATGACTGCTGCTTGAATTAGAATGATCAATCTTCAACACAGCCTCCAGTTTGTCAAGGCATTTGAGTGCTCGTAACTGCCAAAAATACGACGGACTCCACAAATTAATCACGATTAAAGAACCAAGATTACCAACAAAAAGCAAGCATGAATACATATATATCACTCTGCAAAGAGCAAAGCAAATAAGCTCTCTTGGAGACAAGGCAAGGAAATCTATAGTAATCTTGTATCAACATGGGCACAAGGGAAAAAGGATAGCTTTTTTTTTTTTTTGACATTATCTCTTGGAAACTATGCAATGCCATTATTGATATGATGCGAGACTACAGAAAGAAGAAGAGTTTTGGTTATTGCCCCAGGACAACAGAAATATAAAGATACACAACTTTTTGTTTTTTAAATAATAATAATATCCAAATATCCCTCACTTCTTCTCCCCATCAATTGAAGCATGTTAGCAAGGAAGATAGAACTAGTCATGGTAACACAAATATCTACTGTTTCATTCTATCATCTCATGAAGACCAACTGCTTGGCCTCATGGATGAAGTGCGAATGCTCCCTTACCAAGTGTGATGCATGAATTCAAGTCTTACTGCTGCTCAATGCAGCTTCCCCTTTCCTTATTCCTCTCCTATTGATTTTGTTGAAAAAGAAAAAATAAAAACAATAATTCTACGCTTAACCACATTTATATACCATATTGTACATTGGGAAACGTGAAATAGTAGGAATAAGGTAATGATCTTAGAATCCGTTGATTCAGGAATGAATACTGGAAGTAAGATCTTTCTCTACACTCGTTAATTCACAAAGAATACTAATAAAGGCTCAATAATGGTTGAGGGGTGGTTTGGGATAATCTAAATAAGTGTACTTTTTGACTTTTTATGAAATATGGGTTAGGTTTGAAGTGATGTGTTAGAGAGGTGATGTGACTTAAATAAGATGATGTGACTTAAATAGAATAGTGACTTTTTGCCTTTTTTAGATCATGTCAAACAAGGCCTGAATCTCAAAAGAATACCCTCAAAGCATATTAATCATCAAAAACTACCATTGTCGTAAGGCTTGCAACCATTTTTTTATAATAAACCTAATTCTTGTAGGACATGAAACTAATATAATAGGAAACTAGCCAAATCAACGCAATTAAAGAAACATAAAATTCCACGATTCTATACTAAACCAAAAGATTCCTAGTAAAATACTAATACCAAAATAAATAAAATAAAAATAGAATAATCATAAAACCTCGTTTACATAACATAAAAAGGCAAACAAAATATTTGTGATCTCCATGAAATAGTAGAAGGAGACGAAGTGCAAGAAGAAGATGAAAAGAGGAGTTAGAGGATAACTTTACTGACATACCTAACTATTAATTATTATAGCATAGCTTGCTAATTCTTTTTACTGCTAACTTATGTTGGTACAAGTTTATGTATATTATATAGTTCATTTCTGTTTGTAAAAGTGTTGCACATGATTAACAATAATCCAATACACAATGAAAGGATCAGGTTTAGAATCTTTTACACAGAAAATTGATTGACATTATTTTCATGACTTATTCCCATTACTGTTATTTTTTCTCAATCCTAGTCTCCAATGTAGTTGGATGTTGACCTAGATTCAATTAATCAGTTATTTGGCTAATCTTCACTCATTAATAGATCTCATTTTATGTGTTAAAACTGTGTCGATGACCTAAGGATATAAGAACATATTGCTTAACAAAAACATTACCAGAGTGTCTATGTTTTATTCAACAATTTGTATAAATATCAAATGGCTTCAAATGCATCTCAAGCTTTCAGCCTTGTTTGGTTTGTATTTGAGAAACATGTTTTGAGATAAAAAGTACGAAAATTTGTTTGGTTTGATTTTTTTTCAAAAGATGTTTTGAAAAATTGTTTTGAGAGAGAGTTTTGGAAAAAGTGATTGATTTGATGTGTATGAGAGAGGGATTTGTTTGGAAAATTTGTAAACCAAACAAGTTTTGGAAAAAAAAATTGGGAAAATTTGTTTGGTTTGATTACTTTTGAAAACTTATTTGTAGAGAATTTTTCCCTAATTTTTTTGAGAAACACAAACCAAACAAGGCCGTTTTTGTCATGCCTGAATGCTTTGCTTCAGTGCAAACACATGCACACATGTATGCATACACAGCAGCAACAGCATACGCACGTGCGTGCACAGACAGAGAGAGAGAGAGAGAGAGAGACCTTCCAACGTCTTTTGTGAACAAGCTGGTTGTAGATGTCCTCCAACCTAACAATTATTTGTGCAAATGTTGGTCTGTTGAAAGGATTCTCACTCCAACATTCTTCTATTAACCTGTTGACAATTGTTAAGACCAACATTTTCAAAATTGACAATGACAACACATTAAAGGATGCGGAAAAAACTACATAAATAAAATAAAGGAATTTGTGCTATTACAGCTTTCAAATTGTACCAAGTATAAGATATGTAGGCAAACAAGATCAAATATGAATTAGCTATATTTTCAAAACGTTGACGGAGAGTTTAGGAATTTTAATAATAATTAGGCTTCATTTCACTTTTGGATTTTTCCTTTTTTTCTTTTTTTTTTTCTTTTTTTGGTTCCTTATTAGGATTTCAAGTGTGCGTATATATATACATAGACAGATTGCCTATGAAAAACTCTTACATTTGTTTTGGCATAATTGATTATAGAAGAATTCTCCTTACTCTATTTTTACTACAGATTTCTCGTTGTTGCTCCATTTTCTTCTTCTTTCTTTCTCTTCTTCCCTCTTCTCTTCTCCTTCTTCTTCTCTTTCTTCTCTTCTCTAGTTCTACACCAGTGATTCTTATATCGGGCATTGATACAACCAATTTACTTCCACTGCTATTATCAAAGCTTTAACTAACCACTCACTAGTGTTCCAAGTCTAGCTACACTTATTACCTACTAAAAAAATGCACCATGCCACAAGCCACCAAATCCATGGAAATAGAGATGCAAAGGACTGGAAAATCCCAAAATAATGGAATTGCTTAAGTTGTAACTTGTATGCCTACCACATTCCTAGAAAGCTTCCACACAATTATTTTGTTGAAAAGTCAACAATTAGGTTGTGACAGATCGTCCAAATGCAACCAAAGATTAGTCCTCCTGTGATTAACACAAAGAAGAAATCTTAAAATGGACTGGTACATCGAATCAAAAAATTAAGTAGATAATGCCACTATCACAGGGTGGGGGAGAAAAATGTTTTAACTAGTGTTTGTGGTTTGAATGTGACATTTTGTCTTATTGGTTATTTTAGCCTATTTTAGTCAAAAAAAAGCCAAAAAGCCTACTTCCCAAACAGGGCCTCTTACTCTATTTTTACTACAGATTTCTCTTTGTTGCTCCGTTTTCTTCTTCTCTCTTTCTTTTCTTCCCTCTTCTTCTTCTTCTTCTTCTTCTTCTTCTCTAGTTCTACACCAGTGATTCTTATATCGGGCATTGATACGACCAATTTACTTCCACTGCTATTATCAAAGCTTTAACTAACCACTCACTAGTGTTCCAAGTCTAGCTACACTTTTTACCTATTAAAAAAATGCACCATGCCACAAGCCACCTAAATCCATGGAAATAGAGATGCAAAGGACTGAAAAATCCCAAAATAATGGAATTGCTTAAGTTGTAACTTGTATGCCTACCACATTCCTAGAAAGCTTCCACACAATTATTTTGTTGAAAAGTCAACAATTAGGTTGTGACAGATCGTCCAAATACAACCAAAGATTTGTCCTCGTGTGATTAACACAAAGAAGAAATCCTAAAATGGACTGGTACATCGAATCAAAAAATTAAGTAGATAATGCCACTATCACAGGGGAGAAAAATGTTTTAACTAGTGTTTGATTGTGAAGAAGCTTTATGGGGGTGGAAGAGTCGGATGGGAACCTATTGTAGCACAATCAGATGGTGCTGACAACACACTCGCCACAGTTCACTCCTACATGACCAAGAAAACACTAAAGATTCTCTCCAATGCTTTGATACGATTAAATTAGGTCATAGCCTATTAAGATTCCTATCAAGTAGAAGAAAAGGGAAAGATGAGCAAGAATAAAAAGAAAACAGGAGAGAAGAGGAAGTCAACACAGATTGAGAGAACACCTTTGCTGCCAGTCATGACATGTATATCACAGCCAAAATAAATAAATAAAAGGAGGAATAAGAATAGGGGAACTTGAATGGCTTACTCTCTTAATCCATGTGCATAAAGCTTTGGTGAAGCTCGAAAAGGAGGGCGTTGATTTGCAACATATGCTTTGGGAACTTCAATTTCTTGCTTCATTGAAAATGGTGCACAGCCTTCAATCATCTAAAAAAGCACCAGTTGACTCAATTAATCACCACCTCAAAACATCTAACGAATTTGATAAGAAAACAAATAGATACTGCATCCACACATTGTGAGGTATGGAAGTCGTCATATATTTACTTGGTACACACATTATGTACCAAGTAAACATTTTGCATACTATATATCCTATCATAAAATCTGTACAAATTTAAAGAAACAATACATATATTAAAAAAAAACTAAACTCAAAAAATTACAAATAAATGCCAATCAAACATTTAGACCCACTGCAACAAAAATAAGATATCATATCACTTTTTCCTTTATTTATTTATTTTTACTGCCTTCTTTCTTATAAAAAAAAAAAAGGAACTTTGTGCTGAATATGACTATTCAAGGTTGGATTTGACCATGTGCTAATGCTTGTCCACTATAATTTGTGTTTCACTCCTTTTTGCAACTCTTGACTATTTCACTTTAGACACAACACAGGGTGATGTAGAATGTAGTAGGGACCCCTGCGATTCGTGTCCTGCATTTTTTTAAATTGTAGTGTTGGCATGCATGTTTTGCATCATGTGCCCATGCCCATGCTTCTTGGATCATCATTGGGAGAAAGAATATGTTTGAAAATGAGGAATCTTCAAAACTCTTTCCTCAACTAAATGAAAAATTCAACCTAAGAACTCTATGAATACTTGCACCAATTAATTTGTCATCATGTCAACTATTAGGATAATGCTCTTTATATTTGGTTTTACACTAGGTATTCTTTGGGACAGTTCTATTTTATGTTTTAAATGGATCTCATAAAGATTGTAAAATTAAGATATTAAAAAACCATTAAAAAATTTAATGTAAGCTTGTTAGTTTATCATCAGAACTAAAATAAAGCATGCCAAATAAATTATGCCAAGTAGTTAAAATTCCATGTTTGAAGATATATTTGATGTTTTTATTTTATTTACACCTGCTTATCACGGGCATGAACAACACTTTCATTCCACAAGTCATGCATAACGACTACTTTATTTAAAGGCACGCTTGCACATTACTTTGCCAATAGTGTCCTAGTCTTTAACACCTGGCATCAAATTTTTAAGTCTAAAATATATAATTGGAGAAGTCAATTTCATTAGAAGAATTGGCATTCCAAGTAGTATGATGCCAAACTACTCCCCAGACCCCTCCCCCCATGAGAGAGAGAGAGAGAGAGAGAGAGAGAAGGGGTTACCTCTTGCAAAATTAGTGCAAATGAAAAAACATCCACCTTAGTATCATATTCCTCATTTCTAAACACCTCTGGAGCCACATATCGCCCTGCATAAGAAACAAATTACTCAAGTGCCAACAAGTCACAAACTGTAGTTTCATTTACAACTATATTTTATAGTTTCCTTCATAGAAGCCACCATATATTGCATACTTTACAAGGAGATCATGGAGAAGTCATCAAAACTTTACCAACTCAACCAACAAAGTTTAAAAGTTCAATGGCCCTTAATCACATCAATTTTGCATATTATAAGGCACGTCCATGAAATTTCTGGAGGCATAGTAATCCATTTAGCAGAAGTTTAACGTGTGGCAATTTTGAAGTTTTTGCGGTGAATATTTTGGGCAGAATAAGGTTTCAATTGTTATGCCAGATCCCACACAAACTGGCTGCTCTTTTCAGAAACACCGAAATGGCCCTTTGTTCATCCAAACAGCCCCTCAAACAAATTATAAATGACAACAGAAGAAACAGAGTATCACCCCAACAGTAACTTACAAGAGGTGTCTTGACATGTCACAGGTTTGTCTTCTTTAACTGTATTTGCAACTTTCAGCAGCTTGCTCACTCCAAAGTCTGCGACTTTTAGATGCCCAGAATCATCCCGCAATATATTTCTGTCATCTTACTTGAGCGCGATCAAAACAATTTCCATATATGCATACCATTAAAGACAGACGATGCATACCAGCATTTAAATGATTTACAAAGTTGAAATGAAGACATACGAAGGTTCCAGATCTCGATGGATAATCACTTCAGGTTTATGTTCATGCAAGTAATTCATTCCTCTGCAAGGTGTAACAAAATATGTGTAAAACACACACACACACACAACTCTAATACTGAAATATCATTCCATTAATATCGATCTAACAAAAGGCAATATTTGGGTTGCTTGGATGAAGGCCTTTAGACTTTCTGCTAGACACTTCTGACAGAGTCACTGATCCCCATCATTCTTTTACTCTTAGATTGTAATAACAAGTGTCACTGATAAGCATCATTATGCAAACAATGAGTAAAGAAACTATAGATTTGTTTTTCTACACTTCATTCACAAATTACGAGGAGGTATGTGTTAGGTAACCAATTACCCCAAATGCTTGAGCCGTCAGAAAATGGACCCAACAATATACATTAAGCTCTCACAATCCTCACATGCAACCCCTTCTCACATGTAGAGAGACAGTAACCCAGAGACTTAAATGAACAGGATGCACAACCTCAAGGGGTTGGACTGGTGGTCAGGCTTGGGGCTTTGGGCTTGTGGGTATGCTCCCTCCAATATCTTAGGTTCGAAACCTCCTAGGTGCAAACAATTACTTGGGGCCATTCCATACAGGGCAAAGCCCTGGCTTTAATTGGGACCCCTGCAAGTGGATGGTGGGATTGGTCGCCCGGATTAGTCGGTCCAATGGGCTGGATACTAAGTTATCAAAAAAAATAAACATGATGCACAAACACACATGAAACAGAGTGCAATTGATACAATGAGACTTGAACCCAAGAACTCCCGAAACTGAATCTCTGATAACACATTAAGTGATTAGTTGCCACAAAAGTTTAAGCTATCGGGAAGAGGCCCAACAATGCATATCAAGCTCTCGCAACAAGAATGTTGGTTCCTTCATTCCCAGTTCCATTCCATCAGAAGATTATCTTTGTGTCAAATAAACTTTAATTTGTATATCATATATATATAAGGGGATCAATTTTATTTCATATTCTCCTATCTGATATACAAAAAGTTTATGTGATCAAGTTATGCCTTTTTCTTCTTCAATTCCCACTTCAAATATACTGCAAATTTTTTGATTAAGTAGAATCTTAGTTGTTCTATATTGATGTATAATCATTGAGAGGCATTTGTCAAAGCCTGGAATCTACATGTTAAGTTTCAGAAACTAACTGAAATTATTTTTTATTTTTTTTGACAAATAGAAACTAACTGAAATTATCTAAATTTAAGATGCAAAAGAGAGAGAATAAACTAGCTTTAAATCCTGTGACAACAGATAAACTCACCGCAAATAGCATGACAAACTTTACAATGTGCAACTCCTTACAACTAAACATGGAATTTCCCAATCTCATGGAAAATCAGATATCAGCTCATGTGCATGTGCATGATGCTAATCCAAAAATTTGAGACTCGGAATGAAATCCATTTAACCAACCTTGCAATATCAAGTGCATACTTCACAGCTGTTATTGGCTTTAAGGCACCTTTTCGTTTCAAGTATGCACGAAGATCTCCCTGGAGAAAACAAGGGATCGTCTAAGAGTTTCATGTCAACAAAATTAATTTAATCAAACAAAAGTTAAATATAGTTGCAAAAATTCTAAACCTCAATCATTTAAATTGCTTGTACCAATATAATGACAAGGAGTATAATCATCAAAATAAATCTCTAGACATGTGCAGAAAGTATAAGGATTGTGGCTGCATCTCTCAGACAAGTGTGACAAGACAACACAAGGAAAACTGCCTCTTGTAACAACTTAGAAGAATTGAAATGTGTTTTTGCCAATCTTAAATTACTAGCTTTCAACAACTATTGCAAAGGTCATATTGCATGAATAAAACTGCCCCATTGACCACCAGAAGTTAAGTCATAAGCAACAACAGTAAGGACCAAAAGAGCAAGATAAGCATTTTCAACCCCTCATGTTCTCTACATGGGGTTTCCAGCTTTCCATGTTTAGTAGAATCACTCAGTAACAATAGGATTGCATTCAAATGGGTATGTTAATGCCAGCTTTCTTTGAGGCTGCTTATACAAAGACGAAAAGAATATCACCTGTGGTTCAGGATTTTACAAAATCAGGCACCACATAATGAGTAATTAAAGTTTAAGGCTTTATATAGACCTGCTTACTGATGCCTGAGGAATTGGTAGTAGAGGTTGAGCAAAACTAGAAAAGGGCGGATGCATTGTTTTGAGGTTGGAAATATTTTGCACAAAAACAAAAGGCGAGGGAAAGTTGATAAATTAGAGATTTCGATTGTCAGGGTCTGGAATAAAATAAAAGGCTGCAGTTAAATTGTTTGATAAACTTGCCTTGAAACAAATATAGGAGAAGAGTACCAAAAAGAAGAGGAAATAAAGTTAAAACTAAGAAAGATAAGGCAATCACAACAATAGTATTTCAAGCATTCATACCCAAAAAAGTGAAGGCTGTTTCACCCCTAAAAAAATCTTGTCATTTTAATTAAAATATCCAGTTAAAGTAAGATAAGAGGTATGTAACAAGTATCCAAAAATAAAAATAGGTACAGGCTTTTTTTTTCTTTTTTTTTTGAATTTCAATAAACATATCTATATTCTGAATCATCAGCCTAGAGGAATAGTTGGATCTAAACAGCAAACAATAACATGCTATTCTTTCATTAATAGCTTTTATGTACATAATAGGGTGCACTGCTTATTAGTTTATGTCTTCTAATAGAATACTTCAGTAAGGACAGTTTATTAAGGTCATGCGTGCAAAAAATGCTTATTAAAAAAAAAATTAACTTTCAAAATCTCGAAAGTAACATGACAAAAAATCAAAGAATTAAAAACCAGAAAGCAACATTTTAGGAAGCCAGCAAGCTAAAACTATCATTGCTCCACCAATGAAATTTAGAAAGAACCTTGGGAAGATATTCAGTGACAATCATCATTGGACTACTTTGTGTTACAGCACCGAGAAATTGGACAACATTTGGGTGTCGTATCTTCTGAAGTAATGCAAGCTCATCCCTAAAAGCCTTTCTAAACCAATCAAACATCAAAACTCCGGTCAAAATAAAAATCAAGCCCCAAGTTTGAACCAATACAAATGGTAAGAAGCAAAACAAGAAAAGGCCATGAATGGCAGGACAGCAACCCACACTTTATCCTCATCTGTGAATAATTCCTCACCAAGCAATTTAACAGCAACCCGGATTCCTCGCCAGGAAGCCATGCGAAAAGTTCCCTGTCATATTTGTCATGCGAAAAACAAACCGTGCGCATATGATAACACAAAAGATAGTTAGCACAATGTTTTGAGTTTCATTTCGATACTGTCAGAAACGCACAAGGGACAGCATGCCATGAAGGATAGTTTGCTTGAATAACCATCCTTCACTAGCAAGGGGGAAAATTAATGACAATACCTTTGTTATGTTCACACTGTTAGTCAAATCAAGCTCACTGGGATTTATTTCATATTCTGGAACTTCGCGGACATTTTGGACATGCATTGGAGCCATCTGAAACAGGAGTTAGCAAAAGTGTAAAAAACCACGCCACCAAGATTTAAGAAACGGTAGTTCCAAATCAAATAATTACACCTAAATATGGCATGACACAGCACATACCGGAGATTTTGCTCCATGTTCCTCCAAAAGCTTGATCACATCATGATTTTTGTAAAATATTGCATCTGCAAGAGGCTGTTTAATCGACCATTATTACATACCATCTTGTGCTAGCCTAGTGAGAAGAGCGAGAGCTCAACAAATTGAAACATAAAAAATCACAAGATAAAACAAACTGAAGAAGCTTTAATAGAAAATTTGTGCACGGTGCGTGCTTTATTGTTGCATATTGCATAACAACTAGTTTAATGCAACATTTTTATCCAAAGTGTGGGTGAGTGAGGTTAGGGGCGATCGGTCATTGACCTCTGGGAAGATGGCGGGCACTTCAATGGCCCGAGATCACCTGAGGCAGAAGAGAAGAAGACCAAGGCAAGCTTAGAGAAGAAAGGAGTGGCAATGAGAGACCTTGAACACATTGTATATATTGTTGCATGATTCTTGTTGTTCTTGTTATGATTGTGACTGCACTTTTGATGCCGTTATATAAACTCCAGGAGTATTGGAGCTCAAGCAACCTCAAGACAGGTGGCAAGTTCTCCTTGACTCGACAGAAGGGTGATATCAACCCTACTAGCTGTGTCCTAAGATTCAAGTCCTTGGAAAGGTTGCATCATAGGAGCTGCAAGTGTAGGTATGATACCTTGAGAGGCGTATTATATATGCAACAGGTGTAAGTGTAAGGTCAACGTCTCCTTTCTCTAAGCCAGATCAAGATGGAACTGTCACTGTAGGGAGAAACAGTTACATGACCTTGACGATCCCAAGGTCTTAGCCTCCAATTCACAATCCTTCAATGATCCTAAGTGGGAGTGCCTAGGTCCTGCTCCCAACCTAGGCAACCAAGGGGTGAGTGCATAGGTGAGCCAAGGGCTCACCTTGAGTAGCTAAGTGAACATCGATGAGCCAATGGTCCAACTATGTTGCTATGGAGCTGGGATGAGTGGGCGGAGAATATATTTCTTATGAGTCATGAAGGGCCATGGAGAGCTCTAGGTAAGTCAACACTATCAAGGTGAGTTGTGGTCCTGTTTTCATACTTGGTGGTGTGCATGTCCCCGCTTAGGCTATACAACCACAACTCATTGTGATACCTCAGGGGTCTGCCACGCAGATGTGTGATGGTGATGACATGACGCCCATAGGGCTCGCCACGTGCCAAACATGATATAGATACCCACAATAAGCATGCTAAATCTCTTAAAACAAAGAAGAATATAATATCAACAAATACGTTTTTTAACTAGATCTTCCATTTATAATTGGGAAACTCTATCCATTTATAATTGGGAAACTCTATCCATACAAGTCATCACAAGAATGATGTGGCAATGCCATTTTTGTAAATAAATGTCATCTTTATGAGTGTTTTGTTTTCAAGTAAATGGTTCACATTGAGCCACATCATTATGTATAGAAATTTTGTATAAATTTTTTATTTATCATTAATCTTTATAATTAGGATTTTCTTAGATGAGATGGTATGTACCATGCAGTTTCTAATTTTAGTTTTATGTAGTGAATTATCAATGGAAAAGATAATTCTCTTTATGGTAATACAAAAAGGTCGATTAACCATAAAACATTTTCTCCTCGCATAAATTAAAGGTGGATTAACTACGAAAAAATTGCTCATCCCGCGTGAATTTAATCTATTCACCCTACAACATCCCTCTTTTATATGTATTCAACCTTCTCCACTAAGTATGCTAATGGTCCATACTTAAATACCTTCACAAATGCACCATTTTTTGTACCTCAAGAAATCCAACACAACTTGCATCAGTTTTGGCAGTAGTGGCTTAACTATTAGTCCGGTAACTCTAACGCCTAAGGCCCCACATTTTAATGATTTATATGCTTAACTTGGAACAATTGTCATATTAATTATGAATATGTTAGGACATCAACATTTATACACAAAAACATCAATCCAACACAACTTGCCTCAGCTTTGGTAATAGTGGCTTAACTATTAGTGCGGTAACTCTAATGCCTAAGGCCCCCGTTTTAATGATTCATATGCTCAAATTGGAACAATTGTCATAATAATTACGAATATGTTAGGACAACAACATTTATACACAAAAACATCAAGAAATCCAACACAACTTGCCTCAGTTTTGGCGAATATGTTAGGACACCAACATTTATACAGAAAAAAGATCAAGAAATCCAACACAACTTGCCTCAGTTTTGGTGAATATGTTAGGACACCAACATTTATACATAAAAAGATCAAGAAATCCAACACTACTTGCCTCAGTTTTGGCAGTAGTGGCTTAACTATTAATCTGGTAACTCTAATGCCTAAGGCCCCACATTTTAATGATTTATATGCGTAAATTGGAACAATTGTCAGCAACACTACATCTATTTAAACTCTTACTAAAACCATATATGTCCAAACATCATTAGATATTTAAATATCATTTTTTTTTTTTTTTTTTTTTAAACAACTGATCACATTTGGCCTCATGTATTTTTAATAAGATTGTTAGTATGTGTAGAAATATTCCATATTAATTAGGAATATGTTAGGACACCATCATTTATAAACGAAAACTTGCCAAGTAGTGAGAAGGCCCACGAATACTTGTGAGTGTTTAATATGTTTTTGTGCAAGTACAAACATGTTGAAAGACCTATTCGGGGGCAGAACTATGTAGGGATGGCAGTGAAAAATTCAAGTTTTACGGGTTTTGTGCAAGTATAAACAAGTTATGTAAAATTCAAATACTTCCCCTATGTTTCATGATTATTTATAACATATATAGTGAGATGATACATATTTTATAATTTCACTTACTAATTCACCAATTCATCAGTATTTTAGATGATCTCTAACTATTTCAAATTATAATTAATAATATCAATTTTAATAATAAATCATTTATACAATATATACATGTCACTTCTTTTTATTTTTTATTTTAAAAATCAAAGAGATTTGTATACTTTTTATTTGTTTGATTAGGTCAACTAACAAAACGACTTGTATGATTGGTTATATGTAAGTTCTAATTCATAGTTTAAAATTTTAAAAATGAATAAAGAAAATGATTTGTTGAATTTATTTAATTTTATCCTTATGAAATATTTTTTTCACAATGTTTCCCCAAAATTCAAACATGTATGAACCCTAAAACGGAAGTAACTAGCATAATCAAGTAAGGCATCAATTTTGCTACATCATGTACACCAATTCGAACTAGATAAAACCATACAAGTACTAAAGTAAGTATAGATGATTGTTTTTTGAATAGAGCATACCGTGCTGCCCCACCGGTCCTCCACATCGACCTTGGCGCCTCGCCGGAGCAGCAATTGAACGACATCGGGGAGGCCCTGACAAGAAGCAACATGAAGAGCAGTCCTGCCATCAATGTCCTTGAAATTGACATTAGTTCCAGAGTCTAAACGTTCTGTGATACCCTCCAAATCCCCTTCATTAGCTAGATACATGAGTCTCACTCCAGGATCAATTCCTTCTGAGATTTCCACTTCTTCATCAACAACACCGCTCGAATTCTCGTCCCGCTCTGGAGCTAGTGATGATTGCCTTCCCAATGCAAACCTTGGCTGTGCCCTTGACTCCATGACCTAACAATCAAGCAATTCTCTCTCTCTCTCTCTGTCTCTCTCTGTCTCTGAATCTCAAGCCAAATTCAAAGAATTAAAAGGTGCTCTGAACCTGTCTGCCTCTTGCTTTGTCTCTCTCAAAAAGTCTCTGCGTCTATCTGTACACAACCCCACACACACACACACACACACACACACACACACACAGAGGTCGCTCTAAAGTAAAAATTCGTGTTGATTGGAAAACACTTCAAAGAGCAGTGTAATGAAAGATTCGCGGCTGCGAATCTGTAGATATCATCTGCGAATGCGTATATCTCTATCTGTAGTCTGTACACTTCGAATGCTTTCCTCTATTTTCCTAATCTAATTATCTTATTTTATCCAATTAAGTGTTGCAAGATTCTTATTTTGCTGTTTGAACCAGGAAAAATACTGTAATTTGTCAGAATTACCACTATAACGAATAAATTATTTTTTTTAAAGGGAAGAAGTAGTGATTATGTTTTTAAGGGTTTTTTTAAGGAAAGTAGTGTTTATATTTTTAAGGGGTGTAAAACCTTTCTTCTCCGTTATTCTTGTCTTTTTTTTATAAAAAATGCTGCTATTAACATTTGTCAAAATTTTTTAGACCCTTCATTTCTTTGGACTCCAACCTTAAACTCTAAATTTTAATAATATTTTTTTATACACCCTACTTATTATCAAATCTACTTTTATTCATAATATTTTTACAATCAAATACACATCTACCTAATTTTCATACCTTTCCTTTCTGACTGTCGGTCTACCACTGTGTTCATCTTCTCCACAAATCCATTTTGCTGCTTGATTCCATTCCGAAAGTGCTGCTTGATTCCATTTCGAAAGTGTGCTTTAGTGCTCCTAAGCATTTTTCGGGGTGTAAAACCTTTCTTCTCCGTTATTCCTGTCTTTTTTTTATAAAGAATGCTGTTATTAACATTTGTCAAAATTTTTTAGATTCTTCATTTCTTTGGACTCCAACCTTAAACTCTAAATTTTAATAATATTTTTTTATACACCCTATTTATTATCAAATCTATCTCTATTCATAATATTTTTACAATCAAATACACATCTACCTAATTTTCATACCTTTCCTTTCTGACTGTCGGTCTACCACTGTGTTCATCTTCTCCACAAATCCATTTTGCTGCTTGATTCCATTCCGAAAGTGCTGCTTGATTCCATTTCGAAAGTGTGCTTTGGACCCCCCATTTCGAAAATTCAACACTTTACTGCTGTAAAATTTTCCATCTACCATCAAAGGTATGATTTACTGCTATAAAATTTTTCATTTACCATCAAAGGTATAATTTATTTATTTTTTCACTTCAATTAATCATCACCACACAAACAAAAAAACCATTTACCAACCATAACCACAACCATACAAAATCCTAATTGTGTTGTGTGTTCAGTTTTGTGGGTCATATAGTTAACAGGGGATGATAGAATCTTTGAACGGGAATGTGATGATTTGGAGGGATTATGGGAGAAGATTTACTACTTGGCTTCATGTGGGTTTCAATATCTCCTTCCTTTAAAGGAGATTCCCTTATTTTTTTATTTCTAGAGATTGGAAGGTTTTTTGTAGATCACGATGTTTTTCTTTTGTTTTTTCTTTGCTGGGGACTTCTTGTTCTTATGTTTTCCTTTTTGTTGTTATTTTTGTATTCCATGTTCTTACTTTTTTATTAATGAATTTTTTTTGTTATTGACCAAAAAAATTATGGTGGGACAATGATATCATGAACCCACCAAGTGGAGATCATATTATTTAAGCTAGATAGAATCACTGCCATCCTAATGCTAATTCGTATCATGGATGGTGGAACATATTAAAATAAACTTGTCCACCTTCGAACTCTAAAATAATAGTATATAGCTTTCCTTTAAAAGAATTAATGATGTAGTACAGAAGGAATGACAGTAGAGAAGAAGAACAAAGTATAGACAAGAAGATAAGTGAATAAAGAAATAAAGTAGAGGGAAGGAGGAAACAATGAACCAATCCCAAATCAAAAAACTCAACTAATCAATATCTAAGCCAAGTTTGCAAAACCTATTACATATCATCCTAGGAAACCTCAGTAATAGTTGCCAAAAAAAAAAAAAAAAAAAACAACAATAAACAATAAATCCTAATAAAACCCAATAAATCAAAAATCAGAAAATAATGCTAAAGCAAATCCCTAAACTTCAAGTTTATAGTCACATTTTTTTTGTCCATGTATGTTTAGAGGGATGGTATTAAATTTTTTGTCACTTAGAACTTGAGAACTTGTGTAGAGTTGAGATACTTTGTAGAATGGAGGTATTAATTTAAAGGACTTTTCTTAAGCGTGCCTTGCATATGGTATGCAAGGCACTTACACATTTCTATGTTACTTTTACACCTTTTTGGGTATTGAGTTATACCCAAATATTTGAAAACTAACACATTGGTGTAAGTGAATAAAAGAATATATTATATGAGTAAAAGTGTAATTTTGTCAGAAAAGGTGTAAATAATTTCACAAAATGTGTAAATCTTCACAAAAGGCGTAAATTTTAACAGAAGGCCTAAGTAATTTCAGAAAAAGGCGTAAGGGATTTTTGAAAATTTACAACGTTTGTGAAAACTTACTGCTTTTCTAAAAAATTACACCTTTTGTGAGAACTTACACTTTTTTGTGAAAGTTCTTACACTTTTCTGACAACTTACAACTTTTGTAAAATTGCTCACCAAAGGCGTAACTTTTGACAACTTACACATAATACTTACATCTTTTGTAAAACAAGTTATACCTTTTGTCAAAGTTACACCATATGTGGAACATTTTATTTCATAAAATTTTGACAACTTACACATAATACTTACGACTTTTGTAAAACAAGTTATACTTTTCTAAAAGTTACACCATACGTGAATGACAACTTACACATAATACTTACATATTTTTTAAAACAAGTTATACCTTTTTCTGAAAGTTAAACTATATGTGAATGACAACTTACACATAATACTTATATCTTTTGTAAAACAAGTTATACCTTTTCTGAAAGTTACACCATATAAATTTTAGCAAAAAAAATAAATTTTACGATTTTTTTTTTTCACAAAAGATATAAATGATTTCAGAAAAAGGTTTAAGTTGGGCTTTCACAAAAGGTGTATGTATCAAGAAAATGTATAAATCTTATGACAAAAATTCTTTCACAAAAGGAGTAACTTTACCGCAGCGGTGTAAGTGTTTTCACAAAAAGGTGTAAGTTTTAGCAAAATGTATAAATTTGATGAATTTTTTTTTCCACAAAATATATAAGTGACTTGGAAAAATATTTAAAGTTTGGTTTCACAAAAGGTGTACAGTTTTTCAAGAAAAGGTATAAATCTTATGACAAAAATTCTCTTTCACAAAAAGAGTAACTTTTCGCACGGTGTAAAGCATTTTTCACGAAAGATGTAAGTTTTAGCAAAAATGTGTAAATTGAATGAATTTTTTTTTCTCAACAAAATATATAAGTGACTTGAGAAAAAATGTTTAATGTTTGGCTTTCAACAAATGTGTAGTTTTCAAGAAAAAGCGTATAAATCTTATGACAAAAAATTCTTTTCAGCAAAGGGTAACTTTACGCAGCGGTGTAAAGTGTTTTCAAAACAAAAGGTGTAGTTTTTTGCAAAATGTAATAAATTATGATGATTTTTTTTTCCACAATATATAAGTGACTTCAGAAAAATGTTTAAGTTTGGCCTTCACAAAAGTGTAAGTTCAAAAAAGATATTATAATCTTATGAACCAAAATTCTTTCACAAAAGGAGTAACTTTGCCGCAGCGGTGTAAAGTGTTTTTCCACAAAAAGGTGTAAGTTTTGCGCAAATGTGTGCATTTGATGATTTTTTTTTCTCACAAAGTATATAGTGACTTCAGAAAAATGTTTAAGTTTGGCTTTTCACAAAAGGTGTAATTTAAAAAATAAAAGTAATAAATATTATGAAAAAGTAATTTTCACAAAAAGCGAGTAACATTTCAACAGTATTCATAACCACAAAGGGTGGTGAATTTATGTAAGTAAACCACAAAAGCAAGTAACACTTAAAAGTGGTTCATAAACAAATTGGGCACAACCACTGAACCAAATTCATAAGGGTTCGTGACCCCCGCTGACGAACACCCGAGCGTTGGTGGCCTCACAGTGCTTCACTGTCGTCGCCACGTCTAACGGCCACCGCCGCCTTCACACGGCCACGGCCACTTCCACGGCCACCGCCACCGCAACTCGAAGGTTTTTTTCTCTCGGGATATCAATCTTGGTCTTCTCTATCAATGTCGGCCGTCGATGTCGGTCTCTCTCGGTCTGTCTCCACGATCTTGGTCCTGTCTGTGGTCCATGTGGTCTCTTCTCTATCGATTCGGTCCCTCTCTGTCGATCTCGGTCTGGCTGTCTCTGTCGATTCGGTCCCTCTCTGTCGATACTTGGTCTGGCTGTCCTTGTCGATCACTCTGTCCAATGTCTAGGTCTCTGTCTGTTGAATCTCAAGTCTAAATCTCTCTCTGTCTGTCCCGTTGCTCTTATTTAAAACGGTTACCTCTTTTACATTGACATTCCTTCGTTGGATTTTGGACTTGGAGTCGTATTCCAAGCCCTCCCAACTCGGTCCTCTCTGAAACGGACTTCTACTGAGATGAAAGAGCAAGCCCTTTCCGAGAACGCCATTCTCTCTTCACATTGCCATTATTTGAAGAAGACAAATATAGTTGATTGACTTAAGGAACTTACAGGTTTTGCGAAGTTACTTACATCTCTCGTGAAAACCTTACACTATTGTGGAAGGTTAAACATTTGTGAAATAATTATTTTTTAAAAATTTAACACATTTTTCATTAAAATACTTAAACCTCCTGTGGACGTATCTTTTTGTGGAAAAAAAAATGATTGATGATTTACAACATTTTGCCTAAAACTTACAGTTTTTTGTGAAAAAACTTACACCGCTGCTGAAAAAGTTATCCTTTTGTGAAAGAATTTTGGTAATAAGATTATACCCTTTTATGAACCTTACACATTTTCTGAAAGCCTAAACTTAACCTTTTTCTGAAGTAACTTTACATCTTTTGTGGGAAAAAAAAAATCCGTAAATTTATATCTTTTGCTAAAATTTACATCATTTTTCGTGGAAGTGCTTATATCTTTTTCTGAAAGTTTACTCATTTTGTGAATGTTTTGAATTAAATTGTAAGTTCAAAAGGCGTAAGCTATTAAGGTGGTAAGTTGAAAAAAAATTTACCTATCTTTTGTAAAATAAGTTAG